ACTAACAAACGATTCACTATAAAACCTGGTGTATCCTGAAACGAGCATGTATACGCCGTCACTCGCAACAATTCAATGGTATTGCTATTATTTAGAACAGTTGGTTGATTAAATGATATTGAGTTGGGCAAAGAATCGCGCAACGAAAAGCACATTCTTACCTTGCATGAGACTGTAGTTTTGCCAATTGTTTTACCGAACTCCATTAACGTATTGAATGTTTCGTCGGATGTTTCGTGATATCGTGCTACCTGTTTCAAAGAGCAAAATTGAATAGTAGTTGAACAGGATGAACCAATGTCATGCTAGTCGAATGGTTGTCAATGAGTTATAAAATCGTTCGATTTTAAGAAAAGTTGCTCTGACAGTTAACTTTGAACAATCGTTTTTAAAACACATCGAGATAGAATTACTCACTTCGAGGAGTTTCATCACAGGCACTGGATTGAAGAAATGTAATCCAGCAAAGTTTGATTTGCGCTTCAGATTTGCAGCAATTTCAGCGAGACTTATCGATGAGGTATTCGTTGCCAAAAGTGTTCCACTAGAATAAAACACTTTACATGAAATTATTTTCAAAGTTCATTTGCTTTTCCGTAATGATTATATTGATCGTGAATAAATTGTGACGGTGATAAGAATGTATTCATGAGATAACTTCGAACTTGAAGAGGAACAAGAAGAGGTCGTAGTCGTTTAAGGCAGAACATGATCCAAAATGGATGCAAAGAACAAGTTGGTACTATATTTTTTTCGAACTCATTTCGACACTTCTAGAGCAACAGATAAAATTGATAATGATAAAATGGCTGGAGTCAACGCAATGAATTGAAATCATAATCAGTAATAAAAAAGAAATAATTGCGTTAGATACGTTCGTGAAGCGCCCTCGATCTGTTCGAAAACGTTGCGTTTCATCGTGAGATTCTCGACGATTGCCTCGATGACAAGATCGGCTTCCTTAACTGACTGAGGGATATCAGTTGTCATCGTGATGTGTTTCATCACATCCTCAACCATCGCGTCTTGGGCCTAAATATGAAGAATTTATTTCATTCGGTACACTCTTCTCAGTTCAACTCGAGTCCACCTTAGAAGATCGTATTTAATTAAATTCGTACACTTCAGCATTATCCCAAAAGGAATGCGCTCGGTGTAAGGGAATGTCTTTTGAAATTTCAATGAGAACCTATCCGATTATAAGATTTCGCTATTGCATACCTTAGTGTCGTCAGCAAATTTCTTCTTTGCAATACGTCGAACACTCTTGTCAATTGCCGCATGAGCCTTCTCTAGAATCGCATCCGTGCGATCAACAACAGTGACATTGAGCTGCGCTTGTGCTACCACCTGAACTAATTGAACAATTCGAATGAGACCTCTAGACCTCTATTCAAATCCTATCCACATGATCTTCTCGCAATCCTTTCATCTCACTAAAATGGTTCACCTCTCCAAATTTAGTTCTAGTTTGAGAGCAGTGTTTGAATCCAGTGGCAAATTCGGTGCTATCAGTTCGATAGCTCATGTCAGTATTCGAAGGGATTTGAGGATACCTGAGCGATTCCGGAACCCATTAGACCAGAGCCGATCACAGTTACATTCTTAATGGGTGCATTTGCTCGTGCAGACATACCCAGCTGACGACTAGCCACTGTGCTTGCTGTAGTCACTGCAGCAAGGGAACGATTCAGAAGCGACATATCCTTCTCCCCTGAAAAAAAAACGACATTCTGATATATTCATTTATGATGACTGCTGAACACTGGAAACGTTTCCTTAAAACATTGCATGAATGCATAATTAGGCGATTACATATGATGTGTAAACTGGCGATCTGCAAGTTCATCATCCTCAGTGATCTCTCAGCTACTGATAGTCAACGAAATCAGCTGTGAAATTCGCCTTGGATCAAAATGGAAATGGAAATCATATATATCTGATCAAACAATA